TTCTTTTCATCATATCATCTCGGAATGCAACTTACTTCACTTATCCAACACATGAACACGTCCAATATCGCACATCGTAGGCATGAACTTGGCACCTCTCACGTAAATATGAAATATCTTCTTCGGCTCCCTCCCAATGTGTCTCATCTGCTGTATGTGTGATCTGAGCAGTTCACTCCCCTGCGTGAAATCATCGTGTGCTGTGTGAAGGTGCAGGTCGTGTGTGTGGCATGCTTGGGTGGGCAGTTTTTGGCTCGGTCATCCACCCCTCTTAAGCTCGGCATCAGTTGGTTGACTGGCTTGGTCTATCGACTGGTACACGGTATAAAGAAGATAGGGTTAATTCGACTCTCAGCGCAGACTACTCACAACTGATGTGCTTGAAACTATCACGGCGCACTAAAAACCGTAGCCTGGAAGACTGCCAACTAACGAGATAACCCGGAGCTCGTAGTCAGTCCAATGTGTGTTTGTGTGGATTGGCCGACGCGTGAACTGAGAGTCGGAATGTGATGATCCCTTCCTGTGGCCTTTATGGCAATCTCACTCAGTAGGACCTGGACTACACCTTTTTGTCGATCCTTTGGGCGCGGACGAGGGTTTGTAGTGGTGTGTCCAGACTCGAGCTCACACCGTGCCAGCCATCTTTACCAGATCCTTCCTCCGGTTTTCTTGACTCTGCTGCGGCACGGATTTCATTTGGCAGTGAAGTAGTAAGTGCGGAAATCATAAGTGACGGCTCACATCACATCTTTGAAGCTATCGTTTTTCAAGCTATGGACCATAGTACCGATTAATAGTTTCATTTACTACGGCTTTCGAAAGGAAGAGTTTTAACTTGAACCTCCTGATGAGATTAGTATTAGTAAAGCAGGTAGGGCGACTGAGACGATTATAGACTCTCCATGCCAATATGCGCGTCCTGGTCTACAGTGAACGCCTAGTCAGGAGCGTTATGGCCAAAAAGTCACTTTTATGATGTACTGGAAAATACTACAGCCTTGGGGGTCTATGGAGTCGTCACCGCAACTCTCATGCTTTCGTATCGGACTTGCAATTTATGATGACAGTATTTACTTACTTGCTGCCGATATTACTGATTAATCCTTTCTTTTACTATCCACAGATGTTCACGTCCTCATCAGCAATCTGGCTGCCCAGACGGGCGTAAACCGATTTCACGAAGTGCATCCTACATGGATGTGAGTGCTGTTTGTTTCCTCCTGTTTACCATCCAGACGATGTTTTTAGCAATCAATACTTTTTTCCACAAGGCAAAACAAAATTATTTAAAAATAAAATTTGATGCTGTGGGCAGTTTGCTATGTTGCTTACACAAAACTACGGATTAGGTGCTTTAGAGGCCGCGAAAATCCCTCTAGAATCAGTTGCTCCAAATTGTAGCAAACTTCAGGCCTGGACAATTTCCCAATCTGCGAAAATGTGTGACACGTTATTCCTTCAAACTATCTGGCATCTTCTAGTTGTGCGATGTACAAAATCTACTGTTTAAAATTTAGCTTTTGTCGTCTCAACCCCCGTCGCAACTTACTTCCATCGGAAGTTGTGTTAGTGATTTAAGAACGCAAGACAATGACATGACGCATGCAACTTTTTTTTACCGAAAACATCCATGTTGTGCACTTTTATTCTATCGTTTAAAGTTGTGTTGTGTAAACTAGTCAGGATTTAATGTCCATAACAAACTACTATACGTGTTTCAGTAGGCCTTGTTTGGTATATTCCTTTAAAGCCATAGGACGCCACCTGTTACGTATTCGCTAGCCCATTGATACCACCGCATTCACAGATTTGCTCCAGTGTGATCTTTTTAGTGGCAAATTACTTGGCATAAGGTTGCTTATAGACTTTGCCTTCCCCGCCTCCGTAGTCCGTTCTGTTTTCTTATTTATTCATTCTGATTTTCTCCTTTTCCTTTTACATTTTTGGCTCGTGTCGGCACTCACCAGAACTCAAATATTGTATGGTTTGTGGGCATTTTTGGTGTGCGTTTATCAGCCGTAGAGCGTTACCCGCAATGCCGTGTCTTATGCCTTTTTCCTACCGCATTTACCTTCTTGCATCAGTATACTCGTTTTCAGTACAGGATTGTTTGTCATGAGATCGTTCACAGTTTTCCACTCCCCACACCTATGTTCCTATCCTTTAGTTTCGCAACCTGTACGCCTTGACTTTCTGAGTCATGTCGGGGTGAACGTTAAGTTACTCGTCAACTTTAGATAAATGTACTTAAATAGCCATTGCGTGCATTTTAGTAGGCATAGTTATGCTTCTTTACTATACAGCATCCATTAGCCGCTTTGAATATTTATTTCAAAACTTCACTCCCCCCTACCAGCACGGAAATCTTTATCGTCCTGCAGTTTCAGTTTACTTTAGTCTGTTATTTAGTTTATTGGTTTGATTATAATTTTAGTTTAGGTAGTTCTCTTTAATTTATTTTTTTGTTAATTTTACCTTTAGTTTAGTTTTAAGTTTAGCCAAATATTAGGTTATTTGAATAAGTATTCCTCTTATTTTCTGCTTTCATAAGCCTTAAGTTTTATTTACTTTTTCGTTCCCCTTATATGAGCCTCCCATATAACCCCTATTACCACTTGCCCCGTAAGACAGAATCCTGGGGATAGGGGTTGGCGACCACATTTACTTTTGTCCATGTCGGTACTCACCATACAGCGAGTACTGTACGATCTATAGGCCTTGTTTAGTTCATTTTTTCCACTGTTCATAATGTCTTGTCTTGCGCATTGTTCCTACGGCACTTGCAGATTTGTAGTAACCCATCTGTTTTCTGTGTCGAAATGCTTGCCTTGAAGTCGTTTAAAATTTCCGGCCTCCGCTCTCAACATGTTCGTTTTTTTTTGTTTTCATACCCTTCTTGATTTTCTTTTCACAAAGAACCAACACGGTTTAAATTAGTTGTATTTGTCCAGTGAATGGTAATATATGCACTATTTAACTTTACTATCAGTTATCTTGACCTAACCGTTACGGTTATCGTTATGCAGTTCCAGCTTTTCCAGTCTCTGACTTGATTTGAACATCATTTTCGGATCACTATCTCAGTCTTGAGTTTTTCTAAACTACCCATTGAACACCGTCGAGTTGTGCTTAAAGGTTTTGTTATCCTCATCAATTGTCGTTTTGAATGCAGACATTTTTGCAAACTAGCAGTGCTGTTTATTCGCCAAGTTACATTAACTGCGATCCTTTTCAGCTTTTAAGGACCTTCGTTTAGAGCTTTGCCTTACCAATGCCAAGGATAGATCAGTCGAAAATGGACTTTATGTACAGCAATTCGGTTATATACCGACAGAAACATGGTTTCAGAAAATAGGTCTTCAGGTTCAATATGGTGGAATATCTACTGCGGCATCTTGTATACCATCTGATTGCTGTCGTGTGGCATACTCCAACATCCCCTCCACATTCCTTAACTCTCTTTCCACTTATAAACGCAAGTCATGACTTGATAATTGTCTTGATTGCTAAACGACTATTCCCAGCTATTGAACCCTTTCTGAGGACATTTTCCCTTCACCCTCGGTCTATGGTTTAGAAGGAAAAAAACAATGAGTATTACCTACTCTGCCGCTATATGCATTTCTTTATTGTGCGTAGTCTTTATATCATATTATTTACTGGATTTATTATGCGGGTACAGCTAGGCATTGATGCCTACGTTATTTGACTTCTTCCTTGTGCATCGACGTGCCTGCTCATCATTTCTCTAGTATTTATTTGCATAATATTAACTCGCACTATTTCTTTTCAGCTGCCACTTATTGCCACTTATTATCCTCATTTCCTAATGGTTATTTGCTCCCTGACCTGACGCGCATTCGCCGGTGGCGGTTTATTCAAATACCCATCATTTATTGATGGGTGTTTTTTGTTGTTTTTTAAAATTTATAGGCTCAGTGGATGTCTAATTATTGTTTTATTTGATAACGTACATATTCTACTATTGGTTTGTTGTTATGTTCCATCCATAGAACCCCAAGTACAACCATTTTAGTAGGACACTTTCCATTAGTTGTCTTTTGCGGACTACGGTTACATAGTCTATCTATACGCATTTAACATAGAAAGAGCCATTACTGTACGTATTTGTATTCCCACGAATCTTCTCGACCGCTTTAACATCACATAGATCCTTAAACCAGTACTTAGACTCATTCTGCGGCAAGCTCAGTTGAGGACCCCAGCTCCTTGAAAAATGACTTCTATTTCATTCACAGTTGCCCAGATACTCACCACTATTAGCACCAATCCGGAAATTAGGTTACTGGAGTGTCTACAGGATGCCGACTGTCCTTTCCTATTAGAATTGCAAATTATCTACCTAGCAATGTGCTTATTTCTACAGGGGTCTCTCTAGGCTCTACTTTTATCACCCGCCTCCTCCGCATCAAAAGAGGTGGTCTCTGGTCAGGTCTATTCTTCTGGTTCTTTTTACCGAAATATCTTACCAATTTTAACGTATGTGCTTTTAACTCTGCATGCAGATACAACAAGACGGAGGGCCTAGAGGATGATCTGGTGGCTCTTGCCAAGGGCCCCTTCACGCACCTGATCTTGGAGACTGCGAAGAGCCGTGTCACGCCAGGTTTCACGCGTCTTTATGATGTACAGGCTTTCTCGGGTGTGATATTTGACTGGGATAACCCTCAGGTTTTGGAACGAGTGGGCCTGGTTTTCGCTCCCACTCTCAGTGTTTACGAGCGATCCACGTTCGCGACGAATTAGCAGACGACCTTTGCTTTTGTAAAACTGCATGTCTCTTTCCCTCTTTTAATACAAAAAAGAATTTTTTCCGGAAAATTTTCTTCCTGACATTGGGTGTTGGAAGGAGCCCCTGAGCGGTATTTCGTTGAATATTTAAGGCTTTCCATTTTTTCGATGTCGATTCGAGATCTCACTTAATTGTACTTAGTCACCGCACCGCTTTTTTCTCCGGGACCTTGGACGCCTCGTCTGAACCTTCTCCACAAAGTGCTGCTCACCTTATGCGACTGATTTACACACATTTGCTCTACCTGAGGCTGCCGAGGTCGTTTTAATGTCAGATGTTTGTGTACTGGGTTAGGCAGTTTGTGTCCTTAAATACTTGCATGCGCACTCACTGGGCTGGTTTACTTCTCAGGATTATCTAGTTCTAACTTCCGGTGGTAAGGCTTTGAAATAGTTACTCGTCAACGGCGATACAATGTGATTGGTTAAACGGCAGCACCGGTCAATACATGACGACATGGTCCACTGGGGTAGCCGCTTTTCAAGCTTATTTAAACGCCTCACACACTAGACGGAATTTTTAAATTTTTACTGGCATTAAGAAAAATTAGCAGTTATCTTAGCCTAGTAAATTCCAATCAATTCCGACAAAACCGGCAAGGAAACCCTGAGTAAGTGTATTCTGTCCTGAATCACCTGCAGGGTGGTATTCTGCATATGCTTACGCACTTGTGGGTTAATAAGAAACCTGAAGAAGAAAGAGATACGCTTTATTTTGAAAATATCATTCCACGTTTTCAGCAAAAACCTCCATTCAAAAAAAATAAAATTAGATGCACATACGCACAACACCGGGAAATCAAAAGCAATCTATAATCGATAATCGTCAAATGTAGGCTAAATTGGACTGCTTTCAAAACGGTGCTACCGTCGTGCACTGATGACCTCATTTTAATTCAAATAAAAAAAAAGAGATAAAATTGGCCTATAATAGGTGAAGTAGGCCAACTGACTTATATATAAAAGAAAAGTTGCATGCGAATGCAGGGAGGAAAAATGGTGGCTCAGTTTGGAAAGTCTGACCGCATGTGACATTGTCTGCTGCATTTCATTCATCATTAGCGTAAAAACAGGAGTTTTGCGGCCTTATCCGACTTACTGAAGCTTATTAAGTTACAGTTACAAGGAGCCGTTACTGACACTTCAGTTTGTTAACTCGCCACAGGTTACTTTACCGGCAGAGTCAGTGAGCCGCAGATCTTGCCTATTCAACCACCCAATCTAGACTGCAGTCGCCGACCCAGTGTGGCCAGTGTTAACCCCCCTTCTTCCCGTCAGTAGGAAAGGTAAAACACGAGCCCGGTGTGCGTCCATTATCCGGGTTGCTTTGGAGGGCACGAATGTGTGTGTGTGTATGTTTGCACAAGCCTCCAGCCCTACAGTGTCCTGCGTAAGTTTTTCGCACTCAAACCGATCAGCGCGGACAGAAACAGGTAAAAGTTTTGGGTACAAATGCACCGC